GAGAAGGGAGAGCAACACTCCCGTTGTGAACAGCCTCCCACAGTGTTTTGGACACCAGAACAGACCCCAGAAAGACATGTTCTGTTCCAAATAACCTTTCAGAACTGGGGGCTACAAACCTACAGGAGAGTGAGTGAGGGTGCATGTAGCTGTTGTAAGGAGACAGGAAGCAGAAATGAGGGGCTGCACAAGACAGGAGAGAGTATGCAGAGAGCTGGATGGGCTGGCACGTGCCAGGGTACTGTACATGTCCTCTTTTAAGTAAATCCATAGCTCCATGTTGGGTATTGAAGCCACAGTATGGATACTTCAATAGTATGAGAAAAGGGCAGACAGAGAGAGGACATCTTCCTTTGTGTCAGCTGTTTATTACCAGGAAGGCGTAAAGGCAGCACAAATACTGTTTCCTCATAAGGCAAACTCCACAGGAGCAGCTTACTGACATGGTGTGCACACTTCTGAACTTTCTTTCTTATGTTCTTGAACCTAGTTTGATAGCAAAGAATATTCTGTGGGATTTAAAGAGGAAAACAGTAGTTATCTGACTGGTAATTAACATTTAAATTATTCCCCTCCCCAATAGTGCTTTTCTTGCTGTGCTGAACTGAGACTCTTAAGTAGCAACTACTGCTCCAGTAGTAATTATTCAGTGCATTTTTACACATTTACTGCCTGGGTGAGTACCTTGAATGTACCCAGAGTTCAGGGCTTTCCAATAGGATTAGGTGGTAAGGAGCGTAGAGAGAACCATGTCCTCATATATTGTAGCTTAAGGATGGGGTGTTGCAGCCAGGTGGGACACACCAACATTTCTCTCTTGCTAACAAACAGCAGTGTGCTGACTTTTTGGGTGTCTTACCAGCCAGGTCACAAGGAGGAATGGAAAAGGGGGAGACGGGGGAAACAAACAACAAAAAAAACCTTGAAAAGCTTAACTCAGGTGCATCAGACATCCTAAAAGGTGAGATTTGTTTTTAAAGAAGTTAAATAGCATAGAAGGCAACAGCTTCCATCACTGTTTTCTGCTGTTAAAGTGTCGTTTTCTTTCTTGGCATCTGTGGAAGAAAAGAAACTAGCGCTGGGAAGGAGGAGCACACACCAGGAGTGTCTGAGCAGGTGGAAAGGAAAGCCCCAAGATGAGCTCAAGTAAAATCTGTTTTCCTCCATGTTTTAATTTGACAAAAGAGGATCCATCTCAGGTTGGTCGTTCTGGGGTGGTAGCCATGTTACAAAAGCTACATGTAGGTAGATGTTTTCTGGGAATGCCATTCACTACTTAGAAGCTTTGCTTCTGCTAAGTTTTAACTTAAGCTTTTGAAGGGCAGCAGGGTAACTGTGCTCCCACAGCAAAGCAGGGAAGTTCAGCCTATTAAGAGCAAACATAACTATAGTGACTTTTTTCCACTTGAGTTTTCAAGCCTTATACACTGATCTGCTAATGGGCAGGAGAGGGATTAGGTAAAACCACAGGAAGCATCTAGTGTTTGATTTTAGGCCTCTAAATAGGGAAGAATAAAATACTTATTTACAGCTTTTATGCTACCCTATATAGCTACCTATAGACTTACCTGTCTATAAAGGTGTGGGCTGCCTTGATTGCTGTTGGGTTCAGACTGTTTCTCCCTTTGAACCTGTTCTCACAGTTTGCAGCACATGGGCTGGTCTGTATGAAGAAAAACCCGTGGTTTCCATAGGAAAGCTGTACAAAGACCCCAAAACCCAGCAACCAAACCACGGAACACGAGTAATGTTTTTATTTTCAGTGTTCTGGGAACAGTTGCAGTCCCTGGGCTCTGCAGGGGAGCAGCAGTGTTGCACATGCTGGCGGGCACTGGTAGGAAGTCAGAGGAAGGGAGGGGTGGCACTGGATCAGCACCTTGCAGTAAGCGTCTCACTTCTAACCCCTGTTCGCTCTTGAATAGGCTACGAACACGTCAGAAACCTTGTGCTAAAGGCAGACTGAGCTGTGGTCAGATTGAATGCCATGAAGATTAAAAACCAACAAAAAAATCCCTTTACAAACTGTCTTTCTAGGTAAGCAAAGCTGGAGCTGATTGCTGCAGAGCGCGCCACAGGAGTTTGCCTGCCCTGGGCTCCCACAGGCTGATGCCAGCGGAGAGCACAAGGTTTGCTGGGATGGGTCTGTTAGTCCTGTTTGCACAACAGCAAGGGCAGGCACGTTCAAAAGGGACAGTTCTTTCTCAGAATGGAAAGACCACCAGGAAACCAATTTGGTGTTTCAGGGTCCAGCCATTCACCAGTTGTGTCCTGGGACATCTCACTGAGGGTGCTGCACTCACAGCAGTGAGAAGCTGGATCAAATGGTGCTTTAGCAATAGTAGAACTCTGTAATTTGCTGTGCAGAAACCTGGCCAGCATGAGAAAGATCACTTTTCATGAGACAACCACTGTTTTATTTAATAGGTTTTGGACATTCCCCTTTACTGCTCCCAGAGAGAAATTCCAGAAAGTCCACACCAGTAAGTGCATTCAGGCCTCCAGAGTAAGTCTTCAATTTAAAAATACAAGGATCATGATTCTAAAGAGGAACAGTGCAGAAGAAAATGTACGTGGTCTTAACTACTTAGAGGTAATAAATGGTTATATTAAATGATAGAGAAATCATTATCTACATCTTTTTTCTAATTCCTTGCATTTTCTAGACAGCTTATTAAAATATAGGAAATGTAGATTCATCTGTACAAAATTTGGAATGTTTTTTCTAAGATGAAGAACTTATAGGATATGCTACGAATTCTTTTCTAACAACTGGTTTTAATGCTTTGACTTCTAGTGCAAGAGGGGCTTAGAGAAATCAGCAGGTGACACCTTTCACAGGACAAAGGTCAGGAGCTCTTTTACTCTAGCACAAAAAGAGGAAAAAAACCTGAGAAAGCTACTTTCTGTGGTCTGTACCACACATTAAAACCAATCTGCATGTTAGATTGCAACTGCTCAGACCCTCTGGAATAAAAGCGTACGATACACTTTCCGCTTTCTGTTACGCACTGTAATGAAATGTGAAAATACTGCTGTATTTAGCTGTCTGTATGTGATTGAAAACATGCTTGTATTTAGCAAAATGGTTACTCTGTGATAATGTGAAATTCAAAACTTGTAAAGAAACTTTGGTGGGGTTTTTTTTTCTTCCCTCTCCTCTGTTCTTTACCTGTGAGTTGTCTATGTCCTGCACTTCTGTAGTGCAGTGTAAGGGAAAAGCTGACGTGAGCTGGCTCAACAATGAACAAGTACTCTTGGCAACAGCAGCCCTAAAAACAAACCCCAAACCAACCCCTTGCACTCTTCAGGAGTAGCCAAACCCAGCCTCAGCTCCTGGGCAGCAGCAGTGCCACCACAGCTAAGGCAGGTGACGCACACTGACCTTCTGCTCAGCCTCAGACTAGCAAAGACTTGACAGCAAAGGGCAGAGCCATGCTGGACAAGGGTCGGTCGTAGGGAAGACTGACTTCTTGTCTGTGAGGTTTGGGGTTTTTCTTAACTCATATCAGACAAACACCCAAACCACTATGGCCAGAGCCATCTCCTACCCCAGTCCCAAGCCTGTTATCTTTTGAACCAACTAAGCAGCCCCAGCTCCAGCACTGTCACCATTCGGGCACTGTCAGCTGCACACAGTACGTATTTGCTCCTGCAGAAACACTTAACTCATCATCTCATTGTGCCCAGCACAGGCAGGCGCTGAACGCCCGAGGACCAGCCAGCAGGAGCGTGCTTTGGCCTGCTGGGAGCTCATTAATCCAAACTGAAGAGAAAATAGCAAGAGAAAGCAGGACGTGTTCGCAGCTGCCCTTCCCGTCAGCGCTGATGCTCTCAAACAGGGGAGCGTGGCAGCCTGTGGGCTGAGAAGCCCCACACCCAGCCAAGCCTGGCAGCCCCACGTACCTGTTAGTCACAGAACGCATTTGATCCAAACGTTTCTCTGCCACAGCTGGAGCCACAGGAACAAACAGCTTCTCCCTGCAGGACAGGTACGGGTGAGCCAAGCCCAGGTGCTTCCTGCAGCTGGGATGTCCCTGGGTTATGCCCGTCCCTGCAGCTCTTGCTCTTTCACAGCCACAGAGCTGTCGGATCACCAGTTCAGATGTGCTGACTCACACTCCCCGTTTCATCTGAGCCACTGCTCAGCAGCTCCACTTCTCATCTCTGCTGCTCCAACTGAATTTTGTCACACACACCCCCCCGTTAAAGGAGGGAAACAAAAAAAAAAAATCACACCTCAGATGTGTGATTCCTCACGAAGAAAGATGCACAAAACCAGCTGTTTGCCACAGCTGCTTAGTTTTACTATTTTAATATCATGAAATAAAAGTACAAAAAATTTACAGGTATATTGTTTCTTACATGAAGACCGAACAGTTAACATCTGCATTTATTCTGCAGCGAAACCTGTATTCTCAGTCACAGAATGTGAATATTTAGCCACTGACATCACCACTGAGCATTTCAGTTTAGAAGGAAACTGCAGAGGTAAAAGGCAACAATCTCGCAAAGCGCCGGAAGACCCCAGTGAAGACTCCAACTGTTGACACCAGCAGTCGGGCCTCAGAAACCCACCCTTACCCAATACAGGTTTCACCACTGGGAGGCTGAGAGGGGTAACCCATCTTGTCTAAGGGATCAGAAGTGGGGGTTGTTTACAGGCTACCAGTGGTTTGGGTCCTTGTTCAAGGCATTTGTAGAAGTCGGCAGCGTGTGCACAGGTATGAAAACAAAGGGGAGAGATCACCTGCAGTCCTGACACAGCCTGTGCTGCTCATTCACCACTCCTCTCTGCAGGGAGGTCACAAAGTCTTGTGTGCAAAGTGCTGAGAGTTCAGTAACAGGCAGTTAACTATCCCACTGTTAATAAAACCACATTTATCCACTGTGGATATCCAGGAATGCTCATCGAGTGATGCTGCCCGTTAACTGACTGAAACAAAAGCCAAGACTTCACTCTATTTTCACTGTTCCCTAGAACATCACAGCTGCGTGTCTCCCAGCCCAAGTCACCATCCGTACACAGAGATGAAAAAGTAAACCCCTGCCCAAATGCTAGACTCGTTTCACACATGCCCCTCAACTTCTCAGACAAGCTCTCAGGTAGAAATTTAGTTGTGACAGACTGGTCTGATCAAAATACTCCGTCCTTGGCTGGACTCTGTGGTGCCTTTTCAAATAATTCATTTCATGAAGCATGCATGAAACCAAATTTGGAGTTTACAAATAAATAAAATGGTGGTCACCATTAGTTTTTCTATATTTTACCCTTTACTGAAATGCTTAAAGTAACTCAGTCCCTTGAGAATGAACTTTGGGGGTGTTTAAATAAAAAATACTTGGAAATTGAAACCACATTTAAAATTGGCAAAACTATGCTTTGTTTTTGGAAGGGTCTTGCTTGTTTCTTCTCTTTACATCCCAATTATAAACTCTAGCCATATCTGAGGGTGTGGAATTAAGGAAAGAGCTCGTGCATTCAGAAAGGAGAAAGGAAGAAAAAGAGAAAGGGGGAAAGCAGGTTATAGACTTGGCCACACTTCAGTGACTTGCAACTGTCAATAGAGAAACCATTTAATGAAAGAACTGGCTTGGTACAAAGTCTTAACACACAGGAATACTAGTAACTATTAATAACTGCAGCATTTATACCATTTACTTAAAAACCTCCGAAAAGATACTCCAGAGAAACACACCTTCAGTTTTACTCACAGCCACTCTTTC